ACACACTCAAAGGGGTATAAACAGCCACACAAACACTCCCACGCAGGTATAAACACCCATACGAACACACTCAAAGGGGTATAAACAGCCACACAAACACTCCCACGCAGGTATAAACACCCATACGAACACACCCATAGGGGTATAAACAGCCACACAAACACACTCCTGTGGGTATAAACGGCTACACAGACACACCCATGTTGGTATAGACACTTATACAAACACATCCACACAGGTATGAACTGCTACACAAACGCACAGAGCTAAATCACACCTCATAAGGCACCATCACACCAGATATATCTAAACAGTGGATGGACTGTGTGAGAGCAGCACAGTGAGATGCGGCATATCACGCACCCCCGAGGAAGGGAGGGGGCCATGCTGACTCACGGTTTGAGGCCGGCATTGTCCAGCGTGATCTCCTCCAAACTACTGGACTTGCTGAGAGTGTGCAGGACCTGCTCCGTCACTTCCGAGCCCTGGCAGAGCAGATGGGGGGGGAGGGGGGAGGGGGGGGAGAGAAAATGCTGACCAAGCAACATCTACCTGCAGCGCTGCTCAGAGACTGATTATGCAGAACCAAGCAGTGGCAGTTTTATGTGTGAGATGTATGCCGATATTATGGGATGGCTGTTATGCAGAGGCCTTGAAGCTAATGTATACTATAGATACTATATGTCAACACTATTGGATGATCGCCACTCTGAGGCGCTGCAGTTCAGTGGAACAATGCCGTCGAGATGGGGATAGTTACTATTCGCAGGTCTTTGCAGTAGAGCTTGGTGAACCAGGTGTTGTAGGCTATGGACGCCACGATCACGGCCAGGTCCCTGAAAAAGAACAGCACAAGCGCTCACACGGAGGGACTGAGGGCAAGGCTCCCGCCAGCACAGCAGGACACAGCGTCCAGATTTACACCAGATGGTGTTTGACAGCCTTCCAGTTTCCCTTTGTCATCTTTCCAGGGTGCGCCCTGCCTTGTGCCCTGTGCTGCTCAGAATATCTTTCAGTGCCCCCCAGGATCCTGTACTGGATAATCAGTTGTAAGACTGTTAGATGGATGGCTCTCTTTTTTGAAATGGGATTATTTGACCATTTGAAGAGAGGTAGCTCACTCCATCCATTTTCTATACCCCCTCGTCTTATACAGGGTCGCAGGGGTCAGGAGCGTATTCTCGACGCTACATGTGCAAGACAGGGAACGACCCAAGAGGGAGAGCCAACCCACTGCAGGGCTATGAACCTCTACCCCAGCTATTGTGTGAGATGCACTCCCTATACTCACACATCACACAGAGATGCTCTAGACAACACCTAAAGTGCTCAGGGAGATTCTCCTGAAGGAGCTTGGTCTTGGTCACCGATGGGTAATTCCGGTCCAGAGAATAAAAGTCCAGATCAAGATTCTGTTTTGACCAACCAGCTGAATATAAAGACTCGCAGTCACAGAGTACTCAACTGGTTGAAACAAAATCTTGGTCTGGACTTTTACCCTCTGGACCTAAACTCCCCCCTTCTGGTCTTGGTCAAGGTCATGTTCCTAGACCATGGCCCCGGAGCTTGTCTGAATTTTCAATCCCAGGTGTCTCTCCGGGGTGCTTCTCACGCGCCTCGTATGGGAAGCTGGCGCTGCTGCCAGATTAGCCGGCAAGCAGGTGGCCATGCGCATGCAGCGGTGGGGCGTCATATGCCAGCTGCCCTTTTCTGTACCCGCTGGCATGGGATGCGGGCATAAAGCCACCACGGACGATGCCCAGGCCACCCACCACATCACGGACGACAGGGAAGCAAGCTCACAAAATGCTGTGGACCCACATCCCGGTCCTGCGGGGGCTGCTATTTGAGGGGGCTGCTATTTCCACTTACTAGTGTCATCGCTTCACCCCCCCATATCTCCCCATTCAGAAACACTACAGAGCATCCGCACACAGGTAATGATGAAAGGTGCAAATTTTTTTTAAAAACCAGATCGTTTGCTTTCCAAGGATCGATTTGGGGGGGGGGGGGGGATGTCTTTGGGTTTCAGTGACGTCTGCTGCCATGATAGAGTTCCCAGCTTGTGAGTGAGAGGGTGGAAACGGCGGGGGATGGGTTCTGAACATACTTGACTGAATCGTTTGGACCCGGAGCCAGAAAAGTGTCAAACGTCACAGCTGGCTGCACTTCCCTGCTGTTAGTTAACATGAGCGGTCACAGCAAACCTGTGCAGAGACATCCAGGCTGACGCAGTGTCTGCGCGTTCACTTAACCAGCTACTTAGCTCTCACTGCAATTTCTAAATACACTGACATCTGGGGTTGACCCAGTGGTGTAGTGAGTACTGCTACAGCAGCACACTTGCAGGTTATGGGTTTGAATCCCATCCCCTGACTTGCTCATGTTCTCCCCGTGTTCAAAAATATGCAGCCAGGAGAGATAGTCTCTCTAAACTGCTCATATTTTGTGCATGCCCTCTGATGGACTGGCATCCCATCCAAGGTGCCCCCTGCTTTGTGCCCAGTGCTTCCTGGGATAGGCTCCAAGCCCACTATAATCTGGTGCTGAATTTTAATACAACTCTGACAGTACTGAATTTATTGATACATTAAGAAGGTAATTAAGTATGCAAACAAACATATATTAATAATACTACAACATATGCAACTTATGCTGATGTACTAAAGAAAGCAGTTTACAAAATAATAGCTTTGTTACCTCAGTGGCAAGGAAATTAAATCTACCCCTGGCATATGATGTATGTGCTATTCCTTTAAGGACACCGATGATTAATGACTACAATATACATCACAAACACAGAAATATAAAACAAAGTAAAGATTAAAAGCCTGTAATTCATAAATGACTCGTTTTTAAACGGACCTGCTTTCCAAGTGGCTGAAGTCCAACAGGTTAAACTCCCGGTTGTCTTGGGAGTGATAGATGGTGTCCACGTCCTGAGACAGACAGAGAGGTTCAGGGGGAGCAGACAGTCAATTTACAAGATTGCAGAGGAGGCAGACTGAGTACCACAGCCAGCCAGCACAGGATGCGGGGGGTGGGGGGCGGGGCTACGGTGATAATGCAGGATGGTGCACTAAGACTACCATCGCTAGGACTGAAAGGGTTAACCCTCAGCTAGCAGCACAAGACATTAACAGGGATAATATTTCTTCACGTTCAAACAGGACACTGTGTCAGCACTTTCAGGCACTGAATAGAATATCATTATTGCCAGTGTACATGCACGAATCTGTGTGCCATCTCCACCACATTCCATAAAATACAGCAGAATTTTAACATAGATACACACAGCCAAATAGTGAGCTAGAATGCAGTAGTGCAACCATGTATTTGGACCTAGCAGCATTAAACATAACAGTGTAAGATAAAAAAAATTGCAGCAGTAATATGGTTGAAAATCAACGGCATCGCAAACATGTACCAGTATATTAAATGATATGGTGCAAAGGGCAATTATTCAGTGCATGACAGACTATCAATAGCCTGTGTTATAGCAAAGGGTTAATACTGCACTGTGCGTCCTAACTAGTAAGACTCCGGGCAACCGGACAGCAAAACGCAGGAGACTGACCAGAGAGTTAATACAGATCGCAGGCCTCTGATTGGGCTGCATTAGTACTGCGGCCAAGACATTATGGCGAACTGGACGCCCCAGCCATGCACCAGTGCGCTGCCCTGCAGGGCCATTACCGTGTGCATGCCGATCGACATCACGGCACGCATTAGACATAAGAGCCCTTTCTCATTCTCACTTAGCGGGCAGACGGTAAGGGGCGGGGCTTACCCACTGTACTTCCTCTTTGCAGCAGATGCCGTTGTAGTCGCACAGGGCGGCGTACGTCTCTGAGAACCCGCCTGGGGGTGGGGGGGCATAAAGAGAAAAGGATGAGAAGGAGGCCGAGAGACATTGCAGCACCTACACGGCAGGTGATGGGTGGGAGGGGGGTGGGGGGTGGTCTGCGCTCGCCCGTGGGTTTTGTATCTCTGTTTCACGCCTGTGTGGGGGGGTGCGACATCCGGCTCAGCAGGTTTGGATGCTGTGGCTGTGATCAGCGGTTTCACAACTGCACCCCTGAGCAGGGGCCTTAACCCTCAACCGCCCTGATCCAAGATGCTTTAAATAAAAGTGTCTGCAACCAAATGTGAAAAAGCTGTTTTGTGACCGTTGCACCCCAACAGCATTTTTTCCTCCCGTGTAGCTGCATGCCACTGGACCCCGCCCCCCCCCATCTTACCACTGCCTCCTCTAAAGGTGCTCTCTGCCCGCTTCATGGCGCATTAATCAGCGTCAGAGCATGCCCTCCTGTGCCCGGCTGCCTCCCCGCCTGCGTGTGTTGCCCTGCCGGGGCGAGACTCCCCGTCTGCCTTCCGGCTGCACATTCCTGGCTTCGGGCTCCGATTCTGAGGCTCACCACAGGCTCTCTGTGTCTCCACGGAGGTTTCCGAATTCGGGGAGAACTTCTTGCTGCCATCAGAGGGGTCCCCTTGCGACAGACAGATGGATGGACTGAAAGGCATAGCACGACAGTTTGAGAGAACGGGCAAGTCTGATAATGTCATGTTAATAATTTAATATCATTCATAATAATAAAAACGACCGAGTTTCATTCCTACGACTCAGTCGTTAAGCAAATTTGTCGATAAGTGAGAAGCCGCCCTATATCGATATTTCAAGCATATTGTACTGGTAGTGGGTTTGTGTCAACCATCTGCAGTATTTTAATGTCACCTTTGCACCATTTATAATGTTTTTTTAAATATTTATAAATGTTTATGCAGTACTGTACTGTATACTGTAATAAACTGAATAGAGTAAATCAGCTCTGATATAGGTTTGCATATTGTACAGCCTTCAACACAAACTGGTCAGAGACCAGGTCGTAAGTCTGCATGGTCGTTAAACAGGTAGGTTGCTAAGTGAGGAGTGTCCGTTTATTTATGAAATTATACATCTACAGATGTGGACAAGTTTGTTAGTACCCTTACAGCTCATTGAAACAATGCTTAATTTCTCCAGACAAGTGATTCCATTAAAAACAATTGTCTAATGCATATCTGCATGCCTTTAGTATGTGATAGAGTAAACCAATGAAATTGTGAAAAGAATTTTTTTGTTATTTATTTTACAAAGATATGCTAAAAGAGTATGGACAGATTTGTTGGTACCCCTAAAGCCAGCAGACCCTATCACCTGATTTCATGCAGACGCTGGCATGTTAACTGAAGTCAGTAATTAGCATCCGACTAAATCCTTCTTAAGAGAGGGTTTCCCACTGATTCTCAGGACTCCTAAGATAGACTGTGAGTGCAGTGCACCTGTATCTGCTGTCTATTTAAAAGGTCTAGACCAGGGTTCCCCACTTCCAGTCCTGGAGGGCGAGTCCACAACACAGTTTGCAGATTTCCCTGCTAAAACTCACCCGATTGCCTGGTTTAATAGGCACGCAGGGAAATCTGCAAACTGTGGTGTGGACTCGCCCTCCAGGACTGGAAGTGGGGAAACCTGGTCTAGGCTGATGCACTAGCCTGATTGGCAGAGATGTAATTATCCATAGCCTGAGTAGACAGTCTTTTTAGTCCAGTTAAATAATTTATCCGGACAGGAGCTGGGACACAATTGGACCACCGCAAAGAAATGCAGGTTGCAGGGTGACGAGGCAGGACAGACTTACGCAAACATGGAGTTGTTGAATATCTGGGACAGGGCAAAGCTGACGTGGGTGACCACATTCTCAAGGTGGTCCGGAGTCTGCAGCCTGAAGCAGAATGTGGACTTGTCCGTCTCTATGACGACCTGCACGCGTCAGACACAATGTTACGGGGGTGATGGGGAGGCGTGTCCATCGGCTGCCCTTACATGTGTCCAGCATACACATTTCCGGCTTGTTTAAGGTCAGTATCCCCCACGGGTGGGGGCTGGGCAGACAGATGGCCTTGGACCCCCCCTGCGTAGTTTTTCTCCCTCCTATTTAGCATTAACCACTATGTCGGCCCTTATTAAATCTCCGTCCATTGCTCTGGGGCGGCAGTATCGGGAAGCATGTTACTGAAAAAGAGCTGCAAATAAGAAAAAGAAGCCCTTTCATGGAATTAATGCATAGGGAGGCTGCATGGCTACAATAACTAAACGCTCATGAATACTCGAGTATACGACTCTGCTCACTTTTATATTTTTATGCTTTAACTGGGCTCTTCCATGCAAAATTAACATATTTGAAAGAGACTACGCTCTCAAGTTTGAGTGCCCTTCATACTGCTGAATGAGATCCATATTTATTGCATTTTCCTCTCACAACAGAAGGTTTTGTTATTTAAAGTATCGAATCCAATCATGCGAACGTACAGGGAAATATAAACACTGAACTGCTGCGGCAAGTATCTGAGGCCCGGGGGTCCAGAATAATGAGACATCCTGAGAACAGAAGGCTTCCAACCTTCATAGCGCAAACTACTATTACAATGAGAATATTCCGGAGAGCTATTGAGTCGACCCAGTCTCTGTAGTGCAGCGTTTCCCGATCCGGTCCACAGGGAGCCACAGACCTCCACGTTTTTGCTCTCTCCTAGAGGCAGACTTTGGATTGGGAATGTCTTGCCGACTGACCGATTGGTGACCACTGCCAGTCAGGGTTATTATCGATAACTAAAATAAAACATTTTCAATAAAAAAAAAAAAAAAAAAAAAAAAAAGTAAAAAATACTTTCCATTATTGCTTTTTGATACTATTCAGGTAAAGGTTTAATTATTTAACTAATGTTTTATAATTTTTTTGTTTATCTTTAATTACCATTAATAATACCCGAAACATGTGTCGTACATTTTGGAGGACAACTTTCAGTCTGTACCTAGAAATAAAATTACTAAAACTGAAAAAAAAAAGAAATATGTCTTTAAAATAAAAAGCACACTGAAAACAAAGCTGGATTTCGAATTAAAATTCAACATAATGTAAAAATAAAAACTGAAAAAATCTAAACTATAATAATACTGCTTCAAGTCGATGCCAATGAAAACAGCAGTTTGGGGGTCACAGCATGTGCAAATTCAGTCCCTTTGCATTACTAATTATCACCCACGCAATACTGTTATTAATATCCACTGCTTTTTTTTGTGATAACCAGTTCTCTTTTAGAAGTCCGAAATATCAGAGATCTCTCCCTGTTCCCTGAAAACCTCTCCCAGACGGCAAACAGGGGTTACGAAACCGCGGGCGCCTCAGATACCAACGTCTCACCTTGTTCTTCGGCTCGGTGCTCATGGAACGGATCTCCAGGAAGTTAAGAGTTGCCTCCACCTGTAACGGCATTTAGAGTTGCCATAAGTTGACGTTTCAACGCTGCGATGGCGTGAATATTGCGGGAGTGAGGCGACAGTCACCTTAGCGGGCACCTTGGGGACAAGGAAGTAGAGACGCCATGTAGTGAAGACCTAAGAGGAAGACAGAGGTCAGAGGTCAGACACACAGGGCCATCAACAGCAGGACACACACCTATCAGCATACAGTGGGAGATGATGACCAGGTACAAGTGTTTAAACTTCTGACTGCTACTGAAAACAGGACTTTTAAAGTCTTAATCCCCCCCCCCTCATTTCAATGTTGCAGAAGAACATGCCTTTCTGCTCCTACAGGAAGGGGGTGGGGGCGTGGGGGAGGGGCACAGGCTGACTGGCTGCCAAGGAACAAGAATCGGGGGGCTTTTCATCAGTGTTATGGGCAATATGCAAGGTACTTACATCACTCTTACCGTAATGTCAACAATGACGGCAAGAGGAGCAACGCTGCCACCAGTGAAGCTACTTAAGTAATTACCCCACATACAAACATATATATATATATATATATATATATATATATATATATATACACACACACACACACACACACACACACACACAGAACATATACAGTGCATATATTTGTATTTGTCCTGCATATATACACTATATACACATGCACTATATAAAGCACTGTGTAAGTGTGTGCCCATTTGCTGGAAAATTTATTTTAGCCGTCTGCTATGACACTGATCTGCCTGCACACCAGATTCCTGCACGGGCTGTGTGTCTCTTACTGATGACACAGCAGCAGGCCCATTATGTGTATTTGTGTGTGTGTGTGTGTGTGTGTGTGTGCGTGCGCTCTCGTGGATTATGTTTACATGACAAAATGTCCCCCATAATGTAATAAAAACCTGTTTTTTCAGGTCCCCACAAATATCTGTAAATGCAATCAAAAATGCCAAAAGTCTCGTATTTTGTTCAGTTACTTACGGTCATGGTTAGGGCTGGGTAGGGGTTAAGTTCGTCATATTGGGATTAGAGTTTTCCCCATAGAAATGAATGCAGAGTCCCCACAAAGATATAATTACAAGCCTGTGCGTATGTTTGTGTGTGGGAGATAACCTTCACTCACTGGATGGAGGAAAACAGGAAATTCCTGGTTTTTGAAACACGCCCCGCTACCGACGCCCGACGGGACTGCGTTTCGATTAACGTCACGTTCCCTTCACCCTCACCGAGAGGGCAGTTTAAAAACGAGCAAGGCGGAGCTCCACACACACAGCCTGCGCTGGGAGAGATGGGTTAATTGAGGCTCATTACAGTATAAGAATGGCTGGGAAGCAAGACAGGCTACATTTAAAGAACTGCGAGAGCGAACCTCTGAAAGTAATTAATCTCATTCATAATTTAAACTCTATAATTAACACTCTTCATCTAGGTCCTTCCAATCCACGTCATCTCTCCCTCGCTCTTCCTCCCTCACAGTCATACCCATTCTTTTTTTCTTTCAAAGATTTTATCCCATTTTTGTGTTTTTATCCCTGTGTCTATCAGCCCTTTCTCACCCCCACTCCCTCCATCCATTACTCTCTCCCAGCGTCTCCATCCTCGGCGAATTTACCGCACGTCTCCATCTTCTCCATTACTTACTCCACTGTCTGCTGCTCTGTCTCCTCTCTCCTCTCATGCCTCCGCTCCCACTCATTCTTTTCTCCAGGCTCTCTATCCCTTTATGCTCCGTCACTTCCAATCCCTCACTTGTTCAGTCTACTGCCCCATAAATAGATGGTGAATTTGGGGGGGGTGAGTTGGGGGCACTACAGCAAACCTCGATTCAGAAGAGTCCCTGCATCTGTGGAAAAGGTCTTGGCTGCAGAATCGGAAAGGTCATGGTGATAGCTAAAGCAGTATCTAAGCAGTATCTAAGCAGTATCTAAGCAGTATCTAAGGAGTATCTAAGGAGTATCTAAGGAGACATCAGTTGCACAATCCCATATCTGATTCATTGCCATTAGCAAACATCTCAAGGCTTCTGATGGATGACAGAAAAATTGTCACTTGTATTCAAGCCGGCAGCTCATTTCTGAGGACCGAAAGCCGTCATGAACGCGATCCTTTCAAATCTCCCGAGTGTATCTGAAAATGAGCTACAGATTCTGAAGGTATGGAGAAGGATCAGAGCCTTTGCCAAAGTCCTAATTACCACAGGAAGTAGACACAGACCATACTCATATTAACAATCAGTTAATAATTCAGCAGCTTTCTCTGTGTTTTGACTCTGCTGTATGATAGACTGGAAACTGCTCCCTGAGATCTATGTTTAAGCATCAATCGCATCGTAGCAAAACTGATACGGTCTAGGACGGCGCAAAGAAAGCTAGATGCAGACAGCTTGCTGGCGTCCGGCTCAATGAACGCCGGTGAGAGTAACTCAGTTCTCCTAATCCGAGAAACCCTCCCCCGATGTCAGAGCACGACAACATGGCTGCTTACGGGTATGGCTGGCACGTGTAGCCTTAAGTCGGTCAGACACGTGATGGCTGAAAACCAAATCTAGCCTTTGCAAGCAGTGTGTCCTCAAGTGGGCATTAGCTTGATCCAACCCAATAGCTCTGAGTAGGAGGAGCCCTCAAGGGGTACGTTTCCCGAGACCCGATATCCACTTTGCCTGAGGAGCCCAGCGCTAGTCTGGACCAGGGACAAGCACGGTTTGATTTCTAAGCGCCCTTCCAATTGTCACCGGATTAAAAGAGGACCAAACGGAAGCCACAGAATCCCCCCTGGGGCAGTCCATCTGAAGGAAAAAAAGAGAAACACGGCTAAGCTACCTGAGCTTCTCCACCTGAACGTGTTTAAATACGTGGCTGGCCCAGATTCCGCCAACGGAGCGGGAGTGGACGACATTCAAAGAGGCGTGTGTTCCAGATTCCGCAATGAAGGCCCCAGCAAATCAAAGACGTAGCACCGCACTTTGTACGGAAGAGGCCCCTTGACTCGGATCCCACACCGGAGATAATGTCGAAGCGACGTCCCAGATTCCCGCCATAAAAGCTGTTGCAGCCCCCAGGCAACAAGGCGCCTGGGGAGAGTAGCGTTTGAGCTTTGCGAATGGCCCAGGAAGGGAGCCATGAGGAACTGGGAATGAGGAATTATGTTATCCACCGCTGAGCATTCAATTCTAACAACTGCATCATTACTATATTTCACATTTTTTTATTTTTGAACTGAGGAAGCTTAAAACTGAATGGAAACACAAGCAGCCAATAGAGCCGATTCATTTCCTTCCTCTTTTCATGCACATTATGTGACACTACATTCACTGTAGAACAGCAGGGCAGTGCATAAAGCCATACTAGTGATTAGACGAACATCTCTACGCTATAATCCACGCGTGTAACCCATGCATCCGCATTTATGGTGCTTATCGAATTGTGCTGCATAATGAATTGAAACAACAAAGGAAAGAACTGTGCTGGGCTCAATTAGATCCCTGATGAAAGGGTCTGACGGCCCCACAGTGAGGAGTCTGCGGGTTTGACTCTCTAAATCAAAACCGGTCCGAGCTCCTCGGCGGCGGAATCCCCCCGAAATGAAAGGCTCTCCAGAGTTCCGTGCAAGAGTCAGAGGTAATGAGTAATAAGGCAGTGAGAGGAGATAAGGCACACGGCAATCTGATGGACACTGTGCTCTCAGTAGAGCGCCGTACAGGAAGTTTGTGATGTGCGATGGGGAGGATGGATGTCTGGAGAGGGCAGGGGATTGAGACAGCTGGATAACAGAGACAGCAGCCTCAGAGATGAATAAATCACTCAGGAGGTACATCCGGACAACAGGGCCAAGCCACCCCCCCCTGCCCCCCCCTGCCCGCCCCCTCGCTGTTGGCTGCCAGAGAAGTGCAGGAGGAGGAGGAGGAGGCTTCAGAGGCTGCAGGCTTACATGTGATAATGATGAAATTAGGAGCCCATAGTCTGTTTGACAGGCACTGCACAGAGACACTGAAGTCTCCGCTGGTAGGGGTGGCTGCCCCCTTGCCATTGGCTCAAATCTGCATCCTTCCAGCCAATGGGAGCGAGAGGAGCTGCATAATGGGATGGATAATTAGGGGCAGGGGAATGAAGAAGTGACAAGCAATCTGGGCTCTTGCTGTCCCGTCGTCCTCCCTCGCTGCTTTTTTCCTCTCCTTTGTGTCAAACCCTCCAGTTTCACTGGATTCTGAATTCTGTCCATTTCAAGCAGATGTGTTTAGCTTGATTTAAAACAGCCACGTGGCTGTAGGAAAGGGGGTTTGTTTCAGTTTTCTTGCATAGTTGGTACGTGCATATTTGCGTTTGCTGCATCCCTGGGTGAACATGCCAGCCTCCTGTCCGTTTCGCCGTGCTGCCATTAGGATGCCAGCTGTGGTTGTGGCCCTGACATGTGGGCAGCGCCAAAGCCTCAGGCCTCTGCCAGACACATGCAGATCGCAGGCCCGTGACCGTCACCCACGTGCCACCAACAAGCCTCTTACTCATCCCCCAGATTTCTCCAACTCTATTTCAGAACACGGCGGGTTTTGATCGACCTCTAAAAAGGAGCGCCTGACCGCGGATCATCGCCAGACGAGATCCCACTGCCTCCGCTTCACCAACTTTGCACGAATTCGAAAGGCTATTCCAAGACTTCCTATTGCGGCATCAAAACACTCAAAGCTGCTTTTAAGCAATACATTTATATTCCCCTCAAGTGAACGCCACGAGGATAAAACAGGCACTGGTCATGCACGTGTACAGACGTCTGCTGGGTGCCCTCTCATCCAGAGTCACTGCATTGGGTTTGGCCAGATACGCGACTTCATTTTTTGTGAATAGAGAACCAGAGAGATAGATGAGGAAGAGAAATAAGAGATACCTAAAGGTTTTTATTACTTTCTCCATTGCAAATATATGAATTGGTTACTTTAGTTGTCCTTAATATTTGCACAGCCTCTCGGTTTATATAAGGATCATACAGCATCTCATAGAGTGAAGGATGATCTGAATGGGGGGGGGGGGGGGGGGGGGGGCGCGCAGGCACATGTTGATGAAGAGAAAAGGTCACCGGGGGGCGTGGAGGCAAGGTCTGCTGACCTGCCGGCACCAATCAGAGCAAGCGCAGCGGGAATGCTTCTTGAAAACGTCCAATAGAAAACAAGAAGTCTCAGACTTTGCCGCGACTGTGCAAGTTGCGACTTTGCCTGGGGAAGTGCATCGATTGCACTTCAGATGCAAGACAAGCAGGCCACCCCCTGCACAGGAGCGCACTACTGTGTCCACTAGCGCGAACCCCTCGGTCGCAGACCACAGCTACCGAGCTGACAGCTAACTGCTAACCGCTGCCCAGCAGTGTTTCAGTACCACAAGCAAAAATATTCAGCTCCAAAGAGAATGGATGCTGATGAATCCAGTTACCGTTTGGCGGACGTATCTGAAGCAGCTGATTTAGGGTGTGATTTTACGCTGGATCCGTTAATCCATATTTGCTGAAGAAATTCGATTTCAGCACCTTGGGCCTCAGACAGCATGAAGACCAAACCACAACAGCATGACTAGCTAATGTTGGATGCAAATGTCTTTATGTGATTTTCATTTCATGGTAAATGACAACAAAAGCCATACTTTTATTTGAAGGGGGGGGGGGGGGGGGGGGGGGGGGTTGAGGTGATCCTAAAAAACAGGAAGTGACAGAGTTTGACTGAAACCCATCTCATGGCGAGAATGGAAAGCGGACGATCCTACCAAAATCCTGTCTTCTGATCTGCCACTTTTCGTGTCCAGCTTGATGCTCCGGATGAACTTGATGGACGGCTTGTCGATCACCCTCCTGATGCTGTCTGCGGAGGGAGACAAACGTGTCAGGGAGGACAGCGGAGATACGAAACGTGCGATCACTCGGGGGGGCGCGCGTGAGCTCACACATTCAGACACGGCCCGAGCAGTGTTTGCAAGCAGAAAATGAAGCTGGGTGCGGTCGCTATTAATCTCCCATCCAGAGTGAAATAACAGCAACCGTGTCAGCTCCACATCAAAGAAGGTGTCAGACAGTCCATTCTGTCTGAATCACTGTCTGATAAGCGGACTTGTGTACCAGCTCACATATGACTGACATTCAGACCCTGACCAATAGAAAAGGATCGTCCGTCACCCTTGGTCCAACTGATCTCACAGGCAGAGTCACGACCACATGACTAACCACCTGACAGATGTGAAGGAGATTAGCGACTCCAAAAAAATAAATAAATAAAAATGCCAGCTAACAAAAAAAAAAAGTCACCTCTCACAGTAAGTGGGTCAGCATGTGACCTCGCTGAAAGACTACAGGTTATTTTAAGGCCCCGTATCACATTTTTATGCACTAATTATTGTCGCCAATGAAGTGTGTCAAAGGTGAACGGCTAACCTAAACACAGGACCTGGCAAAGCCGTAAAAGACCCACTGTAACTGCGCTCACGCGCGCAGACGGACGCGGCCCAGGGTTCGAAAACAAACCGAAACCGGCAAGTTAGAACGAGGTAAAAAAAACTCAGCAGGGAGAGCGGGGTGCTGGGAGGGGAGGGACATTTAATTACACGAGGAGAAGGTCAGGGGTTAAGGAGAGGTAGGATGCAAGGTAATAATTCATTTAATCATACAGCAAAGTCAAGCAGCGTAATATTGACATGATACTTAAGTTACATTATTGCACTGTGTCCCTGTTTAACACCCAGTAATTACCTGGGACCAACTTTGCTGCACAGCTACGTATTTAAAGATAGAAGCCTGTGATGCACAGAGGAATGATAGTAATCACATCTGCACATACTGGGAGACGGGCGGACAGACACTGTACGCACTCAGAGAGGCAGTATTCAGCCTGCTATCCTGACCTAAGCCCAGATCACTAACCATTTAGGGGGGGAGGGGTCATATTGATTCCATTGGAATCACTACCCAAAAACACCAGCAGATGTTTTTTTTATAGAGGGCAAAATGTTCGAGTCAGAGGGATGGAAAGAGCAGGGAGCAGGAAGGGACTTAACGCAGATATAATCGAGTTTAATCACTGCAAAGCCCAGCCATTTAAACCTAACGCAGCCTCAGAGAGGGACAGAGGCACATATGTTCATTAAGCAGGGTGGGGCATGCGGGGGGGGGGGGGGGGGGATAGGGACTCCCATCACGCACTGGGGCGCTGCTCCGATGACACGGCATTGCCGAATTCGTCATGTCACCATGCCCACTGTTAGTCCACCGAGATCAAGCGCAGGATGAGGGAGGTGGGAGGTGGGGAGTGGGGGGGAGGTGTTTGTGTGTACAGACTGAGGATGAAAGGGGAGAGAGCGGACAGGAGGGACTTCAGATGCTGGGATGCAAGACAGGAAGATGAACTGAAGCAGCACGAAACAGCATGGGGGGATATATTGTGGAAACGACAGGGAAGCAGAAAGGAGTCTGGGAAGAGAGTATAGCAGGAGATTCCAGAGCTAATTAGCGCTCTTTCATAATTCCATTTGCAGTAATTAACCCGGAGCCCTCTCACTCACCTGTCATCTTAACACTCAGGCTTGAATCCCTCAGAGCTAGCAGGAGTATGGATGTGTAGACGGGTGTTATAGGAATATCCAAGTTTTTTTTTTTTTTTTGGCACATTTCAGTACCTGTGCCCAGAGGTGTCCCCACGGACACCTGAGGTTACAGCGCCGTTTGCTTCCTGTACCGGCGAGCTAAGCTCCTTGGCTGCGGTTCTCGCGCTTCACTTCACACTGTAAACTGCGCATTTATTTCCGTGACCGACTGATCACACGCGCACACGGATCCGCGCTCCTCAGACACGCTAAAGTAATAGCGCACAGTAGCGCGTCCATATGCCACAGGAGACAGCGGGACGTAAAGTCGCTTCACGCATTGCACCCGCGAATAACTCACTATCACCAATGCGATCACCATCATTAAGATGCCTATCCAAAGAGCCGCTTTGCTCGGCCTAGGGACAAGGTATTTTACTTGTTTTCCTTGCATTGCAATGGGATCGGGGATCACACAGGGGCGCAAAGGTTTTTACGAAAGATGCTGGGATACGGACAAGCCAGAGAAACAGCAGAAAAACACACACACACACGGTTCAAAGTATCATCACATCGCCCAGCAAGCAGCACGGGACTGATGAGGACGATGATGCTGACAGTGCGGATAGTATCGCTTCATCCCCCCCCTCCCTTACCTGTAATTTCCTTGCTCACATTGACGAAACAGGAGGCGGCTGCGGCGTCTTTGGAAGCCATCGCGGGCTTGTCTAGCTCTCCCAGCCGCTCCGTGTCTTTATAACGCAGGCGGGGATGGCAGCAGCCTCCGCACGGGCATTCCGGCAGAAGAGCCGCGGGGCTGCCGTC